TTTTTTTTTTTTTTTTTTGAGACAGAATCTCATTTTGTTGCTCAGGTTAGAGTGCCATGGTGTCAGCCTAGCTCATGGCTCAAGGGATCCTCCTGCCTCAGCCTGTGCTGGGTGTGAGGAGGCAGGGAGAGGAAGTCTTAGTAAGAATTGACTGCCCTTCGCCTCTGCCTGTGCCAGAGCCCTTCAGGCTGGGCGCGGGAGAGGGGCTAGTGTGCGCAGACACCCGGACGCACATGACGTCATCTTAAGAGCCAAGTGGAAAGGTGGTCCTGGGAGGCGGGGCCGCTTTGGAGGGCTGTGAGAGAGAGTTATTCGTTCACGGTCGGTTCACGCATTCGAGAAATGCTCAATCCGCAACTGCTGTGTGCCAAGCACCCTCGGAGGCGGACGAACGCGGCTCTTGCCCTCTCGCGGAGCATAGGCAGACTAATAACTAACGAAGACCATCAGCAGGAGGGGCTGCTACAGGGGACAAGGAGGGCGGCCGCCGGGGGGGCAGGGACACATCCTGCACTTGCACGCGTACCCCCTCCTCCTACACTGTGCAAAGAGGTCACCGCACTAGTGATGAACGCACTCTACGCGCGGCCCCGCGAACGAGGACGTGCGCCTCCCAGTCCCCCCTACCGCCCGCGCCCCGCGAGCTGCTCCCGCCGCGCACTACGCCCCCTTGCGGAAGCCCTGGGCCGCGCCGGCCGCGCGCAGGGGAGGGGGCGGGGGAGTCGCGCACACGCACCGGCCGGCGGCGCGCGCCGAGCTGGGGGCACCGCACGGGTGCAGCCACGATGGAAGGGGGTGCGTACGGAGCGGGCAAAGCCGGGGGCGCCTTTGACCCCTACACCCTGATCCGGCAGCCGCACACCATCCTGCGCGTCGTATCTTGGGTAAGGACTGGCCAGGTGGCCGGGCCGGCCCGAGGGTGGGTGTGGGCAAAGGCGGCGCGCCGGGACCGACCCAGATCTCCCATCCCGCCCCTGTCAGGGGCGCGGCAGCAGGCGGCGAGTTGCCCTGTTGGTGCCGGCACCCACCGCTCCTCCTTCTTGGGCCCCAGGCGGGGGCTTCGCGCTTGCAGGGGCGCCGCTCCCGAATCTCTGGTTTCCCGGGGCCCTCTATTTATGCGCCCTCTTTTCCACCCTATTGCCATGACCTCCAGGCCGCGGCTATGCAGTTAGCGGCTGGTGCTGTGCGCGGCCGCTCCGGCCAGACTGGGGACAGTGAGGATAGAGCCCAGGTTTCAGGTGGCCTTTTTGGGGGGTGGATCAGGGCGTGGATCATCTCGCTGGGGTGCACGCCGCTACTGCCGTGGACGCTGGAAGGAGGAGAGGGCTGAGAACTGGGTTTTTAATGCCTGGCCCGGACAGTGTGGAGCAGTCAGAAGCTGGAATACCTGGCTTCTACTTGGGAACTGCCTCTCCTTCTCGTCGTGACCTTGGACTGGGAACCACCCAAGAAATGTGGGATTCAGTTTCGAGGTAGAAGGTGTCACCTCCTCCCTCATGCCTCGTTTTCCGGATTTAGGATTTGTAGAGAGGGTGGGAGGAGCCTCCTTGAGTCCCCCTTGGGCTGACGTTTCAGGAATCCATAACACCCTCACCCCCAATATACACCTGGGTGCCTATGGGGGTGTCTTGGAAAAAGAACCCCCTTCTGTAGTGAAGAGCAGAGAGGCCTGTCCTGGCCCTCCAGCCAGCTGGGGGACAGAGACCCCAGTGCAGAGGGCTGAGCTGGCTTCTTGTTCAGACTTGGTGAGAATGGGACAAAGCCAGTGAGCACCCAAGAAGGGGCTCTTGTGGCCTGGGCAGCGCCCCAGGGAAAGAAAGCTTGTTGGGGTTTGGGGGCAGGTGCTGAGACTCCCTGGGTTAGTCCCATTGCTCAGACACCTTTAGCATTCCTGGTAGGCCCAGAGCAGAAGAGCCTGGTTTGGGGCTCCTGGGCAGGGGCACTGTCAGGGACCCCAGGAGGCTAGTATACCTGAGGCTAGCTGAGATCTCAATCTCCCGCCTTTCCTGAGTTTTCAGGGCCCTGTTAGGGTCTGGTGGGTGGGAAGCCTGCCAGAGAGAACTGAGAGCTACTTCCTTTTAAAACCTCCTCCTGGTGCTGCAGGAAGGGTGACTATGTTTCAGCCCCTTGCTTCTCGAATGGCTGGCCGGTGGGGAGTTCTTTGAGGGCAGGGAAACCCAGTTTTGTTAGGCAGTGTCCCTAGGGCCTGCACAGGACCTGGCATATCCATGAAGGTTGTGGCACTGAATTCATTCATCTGGCCAGTCTCCAGTTCCCCAGAGGCCCTAGGCCCTTGGCAAAGGCAGGAACCTTGGGGGGCGCCTGCCAATTAAGTGGGCCTGCTGTGTGCCTTGTCTGTCTGCCAGCCCCTGGACCTCTGGCTTGGGAGGAAGAAGCCACTGGCTTTGTGAGAGAGTGTGGGCATTCATCCGCTTGTGTCATTTTTGCCTGTGATGGCTTCCTTTAGCAAAGCTCTATTGAGTCTGCTGGGCCCCGAGGGAAGGCACTGTGACTCAGACGAAACCCTCGTGCTCAGGGATCCCATAGTCCCACTGGGGAGTGAGCCAGATGCCCTTAGGCAGAGGCTGTGAAAGCCAGGAGAGGGGTCCCCCTGTTGTAGAATCAAGTTTCCTGGAGAAGGTGATGTCACATGGGCCTGGGAGACAGGAGGGTTTACACATTTGCAGGATAGATGAGAGGATGTGGGAAATAGGAGGAAGGAAAATCAACTCTGAGCACCTACTGTGTGCCAGGGCACCTACTATGTGCTAAGGGACCCAGTTCCAGATCCAGTTTGCCCAGCATTTGAAGAAACCACGGCTCAGTGAGGCCAAGTTTCCAGAGCCTGTCAGTGGCAGATGAGCATTCTCATCACTGGTCTTCCCTCCCCAAAGCACAGTGGTTCCCCCTGGGCTGGGAAGGGTATGGAATCCTAGAATGTCAAGATTGGAAAGGACATGGAGGTCATTTAGGCCAACCCCCATGCAATGCCAAATGTCCCCATGATCTCCCAGCCCCGCTCATACACCTGGACCAAGGTGCTCACTACTTTTGTCTAAGCAGAAGGATCCTATAACAGGCTGATTGACACTTTTTCTTTTTTTAGAGACAGAGTCTTGCTTTGTCACCCTCGGTAGAGTGCTGTGGCGTCACAGCTCACAGTAACCTCCAGGTCTTGAACTGAGGTGATTCTCTTGCCTCAGCCTCCTGAATAGCTGGGACCACAGGTGCCTGCCACAACGCCTGGCTATTTTTTTGTTGTTGTTGGCAGTTTGGCCGGGGCTGGGTTTGAAGGCGCCACCCTCGGTATATGGGGCTGGTGCCCTACTCACTGAGCTACAGGCGCCACCCCGATTGACACATTTTAAAAATAGAGGTTTTTTTTGATCATTAAAGTAATACCTGCTAGTTATTGGAAAATATAAAAATCACATATGATGGTTGCACAACAATATGAATGAACTTAAATACCACTGAACTGTATATTTAGAAATGGTTAAGAGGGTAAATTTTATGATACGTGCATTTTGCCACAAGAGAAAAAGTTTAGGGGGAAATATCACATGACATCACCACTCAGGGAGGGCTAGGGTGTAGTGTCTTCTCCAGTCTTTTTGAAAAGCATGCTGTGCACTGAGCCATCTCAGTGCCCAGCTGGTAGGTACAGCTGGCACCTGTTCTTGGCCCTTACGATCCCTCTGTACACTGCAGGGTCTGGTAGGCAGCAGGCTTCACTGTGAGCAGATGATTCCAGAGCTCCAGGGATAGGGTGACCAGTTTGTCCTGGTTTGCTAGGACTTTCCCACCTTAAACACTGAAAGTCTCAGATCCCAGGAGCCCCTCAATCTCAAACAAACTGGGATGACAGGTCCCCCTCTCCAGGAATTCTCCTGCACTACCCAGACCCCGTCACAGCCTTGGAACGGCCTGCCAGTGTGTGCACATGGACTTGTGATTTTGCAAAATTTGTAAAAAGAAAGGTTTTTTTCTGTTGTTTATTCAAAAGAGATCCCCCCAACTGTGTCAGCTTCGTGGCCTCACCAAACCTGAGCCCACCATAGAACCTAAATACCCTTAGTCCCCAGGCCTGGCTGGGCAGAAGCACTACCTCCAGGACCTGGCTTCTTGCTCTATTATTATTTTATTGTTATCTGTTTAAAGAGATGAGATCTGGCTATGTTGCCCAGGCTGGTCTTTTTTTTTTTTTAGACAGAGTCTCAGTGTGTCACCTTGGGTAGAGTGCTATGCTGTCATAGCTCACAGCAACCTCAAACTCTTGGGCTCAAAAGATCCTCTCACCTCAGCCTCCCAAGTACCGTGTTTCCCGAAAAATAAGACCTACCCCCAAAATAAGCCCCAGCAGGATTTCTGTGCATTTGTTAAATATAAGCCCCACCCCAATAATAAGACCTAGTGATGGGCATGGCTATGCATAGCCACATCATGCATTTCGGCACGGAGCAGTAAGGAAGACTGGAATACCTTTTATCTGTCACAACTCCTTTCTCTGAGCTGTTCGCACTTACACGGGTGTGTGTGTGGTAACTGCGGTCACAGGCATCCTATTGCACACGTGTGAACGGCCAGGGGAAGGGAGTTCACGCATCACTAGTGCCAGCCCCACCAACAAGGTCGGCTCCCCCTGTCAGGTTCCAGATGACTTAACTATATTTGAATAAATGTAGATTGTTGTATTATACTTAATAAAATAAGACATCCCCTGAAAATAAGCCCTAGTGTGTCTTCTTGAGAAAAAATAAATATAAGACAGTGTCTTATTTTTGGGGAAACATGGTAGCTGGGACTATAGGCGCCCACCACAATGCTTGGTTAGTTTTTCTATTTTTAGTAGAGGTAGGGTCTTGCTCTTGCTCACGCTGGTTTTGAACTCCTGGCCTCATCCCATCCTCCTGCCTTCAGCTTCCTGAGTAAGCTAGGAGCTCGAGCCACCATGCCAGCATGGCTTAGTCTCCTGACTAAGACTTTCTCAGCTCCTGGTGTCATAACCTCCTGTATCCCTCATCCCCAGGCCAGACCTGACTAGACCTGTCCCTTCCTGCCCCGGGCTGAATGGGGGATGGTTGAGTTGGGACATTGTCCAGGGCAAGCTCAGAGCTACTGCCTCTGACCAGGTTTCAGGGGAGATGGGGAAAATGCTGGCTGGAGGGTCAGAAGATTAGATGCTATTCCTGGCTCCCCCAGACCACAGCTGGAACCTTCAGCAAGTGTCCCCTTCCCATCCCCTGTGTCACTATCTCCCTAACTGGACGAGGAGGCTGGGTTCAGTGAGAGGTGCCCAGTCGATCACTCAATGACTACAGCCTGTCAGTGACTCATTTCTTTGTTCTAGAGTAGATGAGAAAAAAGGAGTTACTGCAGGAAGCTAAACTGATTTACCATAATGACCACTTTTATTTGGAATTTATGTTCTTTTTCTATGGGGAGAGAATATCAGTGCTGGTAGGTGACAGAGGTTTTTTTTTTTTAATGGTCTGTTTTGGCAAAATAAAATGATAACACGTTTGAAATATTGCCATTTTCTTTTTCTTTTATTTTTTATTTTTGCAGTTTTTGGCTGGGGCCAGGTTTGAACCCACCACCTCCGGTATACAGGGCTGGCTCCCTACTCCTTTGAACCACAGGTGCTTCCCTGAAATATTGCCATTTTCAATATTTCAGAGTTGATTTTTTTTTTAGAGACAGAGTCTCACTTTGTTGCCCTTGATAGAGTGCTATAGAGTCACAGCTCACAGCAACTTCCAGCTCTTGAGCTTAGGTGATTCTCTTGCCTTAGCTTCCTGAGTAGCTGGGACCACAGGTGCCTGCCACAATGCCCGGCTATTTTTTTGTTGCAGTTTGGCTAGGGCCGGGTTCCAACTCTCTA